CTCGACTTTTCTCTCATGAGTCGGCATCACTATCCTCTCGGCTTTCCAGCTGCCAAGCCAAGATTGAGGGATGTATATGTCAATATGGCACGAAATGCAATTTTGAGCTTGTAACCATCTAGCAAATTTCAAATATAATCTGCAACATCATTTGAGATAAGCTTTCCAACCATATATGTCTCGTCCCGAAAGCGCAACTTATGTTCGTGCACTTCCCTTGTAAGATTTCTACGGGGTTCGCCATCACTGTATAGGTAGAGGGTCGAAGTTGTTATTCGGTAGAAATTCACCGCAGATAACTCCTATGAATGCAAATCTTCTGCAATCGAACGGCATGACATCGCCAGGATAATCAGATCTCATTACTGCTGTTGTTTTACCATGTTAATTGGACAGACAAGTCCCGCATCTGCTTTTTAAGCCATTAACAATTAGGATCATCAAGATCGATAGCCCTAGACCATATAAAAGTTATGGTGGCTCACAATCGACAATCGACCTTTCCTAAGCAGTCGCTCGAGATGTTCGTCTACGTACTTTGCGTCCTCGTGCTTCTTAACGTATTCACAGGGGATATTAGGACGGCGGCAGATATGGAGGTTTGTCTTTGCAATTAAGAACCCCTATATGCTCTATTGAACCTCAAGTATGTACATAATTCTTATGCTCTTCACTTCCAGCGTTGCGCCGATGAGAAGGGCTTTAACTGCAGACTTGCGAAAATAAAGGGAGACTGCGACAACGACGATAAACTGCTGGAAATGGGATATTACTGTCCTGTGACGTGTGATTTTTGTAAGCCGTAAGCGACCACAGAAACATGATTACTAATAAAGTTTCTGTGTTGCTCTGAGTTAGTGTGTTTAAACAAAACAAGTCAATAAACAACATGACAGTCAAGTTCCCAGTACAACGTCAAAGAAGGTGCTTATGCGTCTGGCCAGACTGCGAAATGGTGTCATGGGGTTCTAGTTTAGCACCCAAGATGTTACTATACTTAGTAAGTGGAAAATTGGGAAATGAGGGCGCAACGTATATATATATATATATATTTATTTATTTATTTATTCATTATGTGAATAAACTTATGTGCACAAATGTAAAACCAAGATATGTTGTTGTCAGTTGAGCACCAGGCTAACCCAATCCTCGAAAATTCAGAAAGAAGTTTATTCATAGTGAAGACCAAAGAAGAAGGAAGAAAGGAAAAGTTTTCACGCTGCTTTCCAGCCTTCTCAGGAGGTACTGCTTCCCTGCATCTGATGGTGCATATCTCCACTTTTCTTGTATTTCGATAATATTGGGTTGTTTGGAAAGTAATTGGAATTTTTAAGCGTTGCAAAAAAAATTATCCTCTCATAATGAAAGAACACTAATCAATGATACATTTTCTATCTTGTTTGACTTCCTCTTGCCATCTTTCTGGTAATTTCATAATTCCCCTCTCGCAGAATTTCTGGCCTTTTTCAAAAAAAAAAACCGAAAAACTGTGCTACGTGGGATTTGATATCCTCGTCTTCGATAAAGGTTTTCCCATGCGGGTAGTTCTGCAACGGTCGAAATAAGTGGTGCTCAGATGGCGCAAGATCAGGGCTATATGGTGGATGCAACATCTAAGTTCCAATAATTTATAACCGAGAGGCCGAAGATGTATCCGGTCTAGCATTGCCTTGGTAGAAGACCACTTCTTTGCGACTCGCTAAAACTGGTCGGTTTTTAAAATTGATTCATCTAGTCTCATCAGTTGTAGGGGTCCGAATTGACATTCTGGTTCCCTGGAATCACTTCAGAATATGTTACACCTTCGTGAACCCAAAGGAGTGGTGTTCCGTCAAGACAATGCTAAACCGCATACATTGTCGCGATTTCCCTGCTCCGCTAATGGCCGCTTCCTAGCGGACTAGGCATCGGTGTTCACGGCTGGCAGGGAAACCACGGCAACAAAGGGGTCGTAACCCTCTCAGGCTAGTAGTCCTTATCTGGCTTGCGTTTGAATGCAAGGATCGGCCTGCCACGGACTCAAGGCACAACTGCAATGGAGGCCCCTAGACTACCAGCCATATCACTACGACACATGTGACGCAACGTGCTTCTATATACCGTGCACAACTATAGCACGACGACATATGTGACGGACTTACGTGCTGCCACCACTGCCGTAGATGTTAACTACATATGTAAGATATTGATTATGCTGATATATTGTGGTCACTGCCTTCGTGGCACCCGTCTGTACTCTTGCTA